ACCATATATATATATATATATACATATATATCAAATAATATAATTTTATAAATATTTAATTTCACGCTCAAAAAAAAAAAACTTGAATCTTTTGTTTTGTTTTAGAACTTAACTCTAAGATAATAATAAAATTCTCGTCCATCCTTAAACCAAATCCAACATTAGCCAAGCTTTTCCCAGACCAAAATAAAAAATATATTTTTATATATAAAAAAAACTCATGACGCAACCGGCAAATAAACCCGCCCATTTTCGCGCCCAAAGTTTGCATAATAATAAAACAAAAAGAAAACAAATAAAGAAAAATAATACAAGTATTTCGCAAAAATGAAACAACAGCAAAACATTGAGAAAATGTCAGAGACAAGTACAAAAGCAAGACGCAAAAAAAAAAGCCTCAAGAAAACAACAACAGCAAAATGCAAAAGAGCGCAATAAAGAGGCAAAAAGAAAGTCACAAAACATTGAACAAATTGTAGCAGGTAATTTGAAACAAGCGGAGAAAAAGCAATAGCAAAAAATAAAAATATAACAAAAAGTAACCAACTGCTAAAACACACACACACACACACACACACACACGCACACGCACACTCTTAAATATCAATGAACCCCAGCAGCGTCGGGGCTTAGACCCCCAAGCAATATCACCACCTGCCCACCCGCTCGCCCCATTCTTTAAGTCTAGGCGGCAGCCACACGTACTACCAACAGATTTTGCGCCACTTTTGACATAATTCAGTTGCTTTGCTTGTTTTTTTCTTTTTTCTTGTCTGTTACTTGTTTTTTCTTTCTTTTTGTGCTGTGCGCTTTGCGCGTTTGCTTCGTTTTCGTCAAGTTTTCAAAAGGTTCGATTCGATGTTTTTTTTTTTTTTTCGCTTTGAGCTTTTCACGTCGGCGCATATCTCAAAAGCATGCAGCGCTGCCGACGTCGACGGCGACGTAGCATGTACTAAAAAGTTTTTGTTTCTTGTTGTTGTTGTGTCGAGAATGGTGAAAGAAAAAGTGGACGCAGAGAACTGCGCCGGCGTTGACAGCGGACGCCAACTGCGACAGCGACGCTTCGGTCTTCTCGTTATTCTGATTGGAATAAAACGGAAGAGCGCATTTCATAGTGTGCGTGCAGATGAGAGAGCGTAACATACGGGCTCCCAGACGGGGAGCGTGTCCATGTGTGTGTGTGTTGGTTATGGGGAAAATAAAAGCGAAGAGAACACAAGTAAAGTGGCGCGAATTGGGCGTTTGGTTGGCGCATTTTTGTTTTACCGCCCAAAATCTATTCGAATGGCGGGAAAAGTGCAATCGCCGACCGACACCACGAAAATATATGCGAATTGATTAGAAAGTGCCGGTGCCTGGTGTGCGGTTAATAATGTGCGTGTATGTGTGGGCGATTGCTCATGGCAGCTGAAAAATTGTCAAAATTCGGAGTTGCCAAACCAATTGGGGTCAAATGAGCCTGGAGCTGCGAGCAAACTTATGGGGCATGCGACCTCAACAATGCTGCGTTGCAATAGTTCACTGAACCTAGCTTTAATTCCAATTAGCAACGGAAACCTATATCCAATTCGACGTGTGCATGCCCAAGCAACACTTGCATCAACAACATAACTGTCGCCAATAAGAACGTAACGGTTACCGGTCTGCAGCAGGCAGACAATCTGCAAAATTTCTAATAAGAACAATTTGGCAAACGTCTCAACTTATATACGCATATGTATATATTTTATTATTTTTTTTTTTGGTGTGCGTTAGCTTATTGTTTTTGTAGCAAAAAATGCAAAGACACGACGGCACACTCGCGCACACACGCACACTAGCGGCATTCGCTATATCCCACACTTGTCACACGCGTAATTTTTACACATTTTTTTTTTTTTGTTCTTTCTTTTGGCTGTTTTACGGCTCTTGGGGCGTAGTTTTTTTTTCGTTTTTTTACCTTTAATTTGTGGTGCGTATTGTGCTCAATGCTATGCGCTGCTAGGCGTTAAGATTTGCATTTGGTAATTGAATATTATTTGCACTTGAAAAAATGTATATTTTTTTATACGTCGTCACACGCCGGCCACGAACTTCATCAAGCAGCAGCTGAGCAGTGATCAAAAAGATCGGTGTTCAGGCAGCGCGAATGACTCGAGGGAGAGCTAAATCAGAAAGAGAGCCAAGCGTTGACAGCGACGGCAGCGTCGGCGTCAGCAGAGGCAAGCAGCCAGGCAGGCAATGTGTGTGCATGTGAAACGCGCCAAAGAAGCACATCCAGCGCCAAAAAAAATGCAACAAACACACGGGCACAAGTTGTAGCTGTAGCTGTTGTTGTTGTTATTGTTGTTGTTGGTAACGCCAACTGACATTTAACAGAGAGAGAGAGAGAGAGAGAAAAGCAAACGGAGAGTGCCAGCGCAAGAGAGCACATCTGGCGCGCGCAAAAAATGCCAGCCAGGCAGAGGCAGAGTAGTGGAATGCGTGTGGCAGGAGCTTGCAGACCCCCTCAACGCCCCTTACCAAACACTTATATAGGAGTTAGTTGCGGATTATTGAATGGAGCTGAAGCAAGTGACGCTCCTTCTGAACCGCCATGTAGGCGGTTGAACAGTGTGTGAGTGTGTGCGTGTGTGTGACTGAGTGTAACAGCTGTTTTGTGGCGCTCGTTTAACGGGCGTTGCGCGCGCTACAGCTGTTAAAGCTGCCACCTGGGCAGAGAAAGATGTACTAATTAATAGGGCAGAACAAGTTGAAATTAATATTTTCTTCAAATTCAAATAGCATACACAATTTTATTGAAAAACTGTGTGAAATGCATATAATTGATTTTTTACATCAACATAAGACGCTACAAAGTCAATGAAATTGCATCATCCTTACAATATTTTAATTTAAATATACCTTTCACATTTCATAATTATTTAAGTTTAACAAAATTACACTGAAATCAACTAAATGGGTCAACTTGCTGACTGTTTACATTTACAGACTTTGCACACACTCAGTCTGACGATCTGCTGGCAACGCCGCTCACAACACAAACAAACATCGTTACTTTGTTGTTTTGTGCGCGCGGGATTTTGTCTTTTTTGACACCAACTTTGGCGGCCGCTAGTAACGTTTTTCTAAATGAAACCATATGGTTGCGCATATGCATTGGATTGGATAAAACACATAGAATCTAATTTGATAAAGTGTGCAAAAATCATTGCAAAATTGGGCAAGTTATGAATGAACAAAGTTGTGAATTTCCCGCGCGCGGGAAGCAACGTCGACGTCAGGCGCTCTCACGACAAAATGACAGCTGAGCTGAGCGACCTCTTGGGAGAGCGCGAGAGCGACGTTGACAGCGACGCTAACGTCGACGCTGGCGGCGGGCACAACTTTTTTCGTAGAACAAGGCAAGGGCAGAAAAAAAAAATTTAAGAAAAAAAATTTTTTTTAACCAAAAGCAACGGCATTGCATGTATTGGAATTGCAAAAACAACAAAGAGAAAAACAAAATATATATAAGAACGTAGCCAAAAGTGAAGCCGCTAATACGGAGCTTTGAACTTGCCTAGCGGACAATTGCTCACTCACCTGTTCCGGATGAAGACTTTCGGTGCTCGGGCAAGTGTTGCTCTTCTTCTTGTTGTTCTTGTTGTTGCTGTTGTTATGGATGATGTTGTTGCATTGGGGGTTGGTTAGGTGAGATGTGGTGCTCGCTATATGTATGCTGGGCAGCGAGCCACGCGCGCAGTTAGCACAGAAAATTAGTGTGTTCCAATGCGCTCCACGCGGATGAAAAAATATATAAATTGCACACGCACACACATAAACACAGCGACAACTCTCGGGTCTTTTTTTTTTTTTTTTTAGTTTTTTTTTGCCACACCGGCACACGCTCCAGTCAAGGCCAAATGCGATCGAAAATCCAGTTCGCCTGTGTATGCGTGTGTTTGGCGCAATTAGATCCACAATTTGAGGACCAACATCAAACCTTTTTCCGGCTGAGTTTCACAAAATTCAAGTGAACCAACTGCGCTGTCGCTGTTGCAGAGTGGAAGAGAGAACAGCGATAACAAAAAAAGAGCATTTTCTTAGTGATGATCGATACTCGGGCGCTGCACTCACCATTAAGCGATATTTCTTTTAGCACAGCGCGCAATTGCCATTCGCCGCGAAAAATGTAAACATTGAATGCCACGCACCAGCGGGCCAATTTCAAATTAAATTATTTACCATTTAACTAGCGCATATTTCAAGTTTTCACCATTCGCTGCTCTAAAAACACGGCACTTTATGCAATTAGTAAGCCAACAATATAATAAATATAAGCTTATGGCAACTGCTTCAAATTGCGTAAATAGTCTGGTAACGCTTTGTGTTCATGTTATTTAACTGTTTTTTTTTTATTGGGGTTTATTATTAAACTGGGTCAAAGGCGTATTTCTTGTTTTAGATTCGTTTTAGGATTTGCAGTTCTTGAGATTTCTGTCAATTTTGAGTGACTCAAAATAGGTTGAATTTTGAAATCCAAAAAGAAATAGAAAACAAAACGACAAATTTGACGCCGCGCAACGAATTAAAGCTCGACAACTCGAGAATCAGAATAAAAGAAACGCAACGATAATACGAAATTTAGCACAGCTGCTGAAAAGTGCTTAAACAGCGCAAGAGTAGGAAAAAAATCAAAGCCCACATTTTTGCCAAACGCAGCAGAAACCAGAAATAAACGTTAATAGACGAATATTAAATACCCTTACTTGCAGAACATATTCGAGATATTTACATATATATTTTGCCAAACGCAGCAGAAACCAGAAATAAACGTTAATAGACGAATGCTAAATACCCTTACTTGCAGAAGATTTTTGAGATATTTACATATATCTATTTATCTCGATTGTTCTGCAATATAAATCCAATTAACATCTGGCTTACACAAAAAAAAATGTCTTGCGAGTTGCGTTACATATTTAATGAGAAAATCAAGGCACCCTCTGCAAGGGCATTTGGCCAGGGACAAAGCTCAGTTGCGTGCGTGTGTGTGTTCCATGTTTATTGCGAATTGTTGATTGTTGCTAACATTAATTCAAAGAGGTTTCTAACGGGCAGCTGGAGCTCGTTCCTAGATCGGGGACTGCTTGAAGCCGCGCGCCGCATAGTCGGCGGGCGCCGAGCGATCCGAGACACGGGGATAGCCCTCGTCGCCGGGCACGCACGCCTTGCGCGACGATATCACACGCCAGCCGCCCTTGCGCGTCCAATCCTGCAACAAATTGGCATTGGATGAGACCACAAGATGATCATGTTAAACTTGGTCCACTCACGTTCTGATTATATTTGAAGTAGTAGGCGGCGGCATAGATGCCGGTCAGCGCAATCAGCGCCTTGCCGGTCCAGTAGCGCACCGTGTAGGCGCGTTGGAAGCCCTTGGGAAACGAGCAGGGAAATTAACAGAACAAAATTTAACATTTTTTTCTTTCGATTACATAACACAAATTGCACCCACCAGCGCCGGCGTCAAAACGCTGCAAACCTTGTCCAAGGGTGCGCGATAGAAACGCCTGATGGGATTGTTCAGCTCCAGCTCCAGGGCGGGCACCTTGCGCGGCCCATGGGGCAACTCCTGGTCCTTCAGCCATTGCTTGCGCCAGGCACGCTCCTCGGGCGTCATGCCGATGAGGCGCTCGCGTTCGCGGACCATGCGGCCCGCGATGACCATGGGCTTAACGCCGCCCGTATCTGATGCGCCGCCGGCAACCATTTTTATTTAGCTCTTTAATTCTTAATATCAATAATATTAAATGTTGGCGAGCTTCGAATGTTTTGTGTAAAATACGCACCGATGAAAAAAACGAAAACAGCTGTTTTGTTTGTCATTCAGCGCGAAACGCGGGCACTTAGAGATGTGCCTTCTGTATTGAACAGTTATTTGGCGAGTTGATCAATGCAACTATTCCCAGTTTTGGTATGTCGATCGTTGTTCGAAGTGGGGTAAGTGATCTAAAAAGGTACACCCACTATTTGGTGAACTAAGATACAGGGAATACGAACTGATGCAAAACTAAGAGGCGCAGCACAAAATGGCAATAAATTGAGAGACATTAAAAAGGCGCATTTCTATAACGTACAAAAGCTGAATGCCTTTATTGGAGCACAGTAAAGTAGGTAAAAGTGAAGTTACCCCGCAGTAAGTTATTGTTCCCACTATTTGCAAATGATGGGCAGCACTACACACTGCACTAAAATATAGTGGTGGGGTATTCTTGGAAGTGCGGACTAAATTAAATGTTGGTTTTTTATTATGTTAGTTAACAGACGCTATTCCATTTGCAGGCCTAAAATCTAATGAGACAGTCAAATGTGGGAAAATAAAGTTGAGAATTCTAAACCTTAAATCTGATGCAAAACGTAGGGTTAACTTTATATTTTTTTGTAATCCAGTTATTTAGGCGTAATGGCTGCACAAAATAATCGATAGCAGCTAGTTAACAGATAACTCGAGCTATCGATAGTTCCTTTTGAACGATACATTTTCGGTGTGCGCATCACTAAAGCACAAGCGTGGAGCGCTTGTCCCCACCTGTGATTACACACACGCACACACACACAGGCGCCCTTGTTTATAGTTATTTCCAATATTTACCTGGCTTGATAAAGTTGCCATTGTAAAGCCCATGTCCGGGTAAGTGTTTTAATAATGATAGCACATTTAATTGCAGCGCAAATAGCGCCCGACAATTGCACAAACAAAACAAGTTTAGACAATTTTTTCATTTTATCTGCCGCAGCAGAGACTGCGCAGCATGGAATCAAAATACCTGATCAATGGCAATGGCAATCCAAGCTTGGCCGCCAGCTTTCCCGTCAAGCGCAAAATCGAGCCAATGAAGGAACAGAACTGCATCAAGAAGCCCAACTATAATAGTCCACCCAAGCTCCAGAGTCCGTACAAGAATGCCTTGGGCAGCAAGAAGAGCAGCGTCGAGCAGGAGCGCAGGGCGTTGCCCGTTTACCATTGCCGGCAGCGCATACTCAAGGAGCTGGAGGCGAACGACACGCTGCTGATCATGGGCGAAACCGGCTCCGGCAAGACCACACAAATCCCGCAATTTCTGCTGCAGGCCGGTTATGCGAACAGCGGCATCATAGGCATCACCCAGCCACGGCGCGTGGCGGCCATCACCATAGCGAAGCGCGTGGCCCAGGAGCTGGCCAGCACCGTCGGCGACACTGTGGGCTATACGGTACGCTTCGAGGACACCACCACGGAGCGGACGCGCATACGCTACCTCACGGATGGCATACTGTTGCGCGAGGCGATTGCGGATCGTTTGCTGCGCCGATATACGGCCATAATGCTGGACGAGGCGCACGAGCGTACGGTCAATGCGGATGTCCTGTTCGGGATTGTGAAGGAGGCGCAACAGGAGCGCCGCAAGCACAAGCTGACCAAGCTGAAGCTTATAATTACCTCGGCCACAATGGACATTGATCATTTTGGCAAATACTTCAATGTGAAGGGCATGTATCTGGAGGGGCGCACGCATCCGGTGCGCGTGCTGCACGCCAAGGAGACGCAGGAGGATTACATACACGCAGCGCTGGTCACACTCTTCGATATACATCGCCACGAGCCCATCAATCATGATGTGCTCATCTTTCTAACCGGCCAGGAGGAGATCGAGGCGCTGGCCCAGCAAATCCGCCAGCTGGCCAGGATCAACAACTCGGGCCCCTCCGATGTGCGCGTCTTTACGCTCTACGCCCAGCTGGCCCAGGGCAAGCAGCTGGAATGCTTTCTGCCCGTGCCGGCGAACACGCGTAAAATTGTCCTGGCCACGAATATAGCCGAGACCTCGATTACCATACCGGGCATACGCTGTGTCATCGACTGCGGCTTTGTCAAGGAGAAGTCGTTCAATCCGAGCTCTGGTCTGGATTTGCTCAAAACTGTGCGCATCTCGCAGGCACAGGCCTGGCAGCGCAGCGGACGTGCCGGACGCGATGCGCCAGGCGTCTGCTATCGCACCTATACGAAGGCCACCATGGAGAAGTTCCGCAGCGCCGCACAGCCGGAGATATTGCGCGCCAATCTGACCGCCACGGTGCTGCAGTTGCTCGCGCTGGGCATCGATTGCGCCAGCTTTGATTTCATAGATGCCCCACAGCCGGAGGGCGTGCAGAGCGCCCACCTGGCCCTGGAGCAATTGGGTGCCATCAAGTCGGCTGTTGCGCCCAGCATCACCACGACGGGCCGCTGGATGGCCCAGTTTCCGCTGGATCCCAGATACGCCAAGCTGTTGCTTGCGGCGCCCACATACGGTTGCATGGAGGAGATGCTCAGCCTGGTGGCGGCCTTGTCCAGCGACAATGTGTTCATTGGACACACGGACAAAAGCGAACTGGCCGCCTTGGCGCACGCCAAGTTCCACTCCAAGCACGGCGACCATTTGACCCTGCTCAACGTGTTCAGCACGTTCCAGAAAACCGAAAAGCCAAAGATCTGGTGCCACGACAACTTCCTCAATATACGCAATCTGAACTATGCTCGCAACGTGCGCAACCAGCTGGCCGAGATCAGCGCCCGTCTGAATCTGGCCTTCAACAGCTGCGGTGACAACACGGATGCGGTCAAGAAGTGCCTGCTGACGGGTCTCTTCGACAACATTGCCCTGCTCCAGAAGGAGGGCCACTATCTGACCCTCAGCGGGCGTGTCAAGGCCAAGATACATCCGTCCAGCGTGCTGCACGGCAAGTACAAGCCGCAGTGCATCCTCTTCACCGAAATGGTGCAAACGGAGCACAATTTTCTGCGCCAGGTGACCGAGATCTGCATCGACTGGATCGAGGAGGTTGTGCCATCTATTAAGTGTGTTCTTAAATAAAGCTCGACTTCAGTTTATTTTATAGTTTTACAACCAGAACAAAAACAAATTGTGTTTATACGAAAAACCTTTTCAGACGGCTTACCATGTATTATATATATATCTTGCTCGATCGGACCACTATATCAAATAGCTGACATTGGTCGAAGAGTAACCTGTTGTATGGACAACTTTTTTGTTTTTCAAGATATCTTGACCAAACTCGGCATTTATTAGCTTTATTATGCTCCTCATATATATTGAAAATCCTATCAACCTCAGACCACTATATCGTATAGCTGCCATAGGAACGATCGGTCGAAAATTAAGTTGTTGTATGGAAAACTTTTTTGTTTTTCAAGATATCTTGACCAAGCTCGGCATATATTAGTTTTATGATGCCCCTTTCATTTAGGCAAAATCTTGTTTACATTGGACTACTATATAATATAGCTGCCATAGGAACGATCGGTCAAAAAGTAGGTTCGTGTATGAAAAACTTTTTTCCTTATCAAAATATGTTAACCATACTCGGCATTAATTATTGTGCCTATGCTTCTTAAGGGCAAAACAATATTAGCATTAAGAAAAAGTTGAATATGCAAGGGTATTAAATATTCTAACAGAAGTTATATAGAAATTAGAATCTATAAATATGCAATCAAAAAATTATCAGAATATTTTGAAAGTTCAGAGTAGATCGCCTTAATACATTTATATTTATTTAGTTTTGGAATAGATTGGGAATTGTTGAATATCCAACCCATGTCCAGTTAATATAAACAAAGTTTTTCAAATTGTATTTAATATATATTAAAAATATGCATATATTGTATATTTTCTTTTTAGATATAGGTATATTCACATTATGATTGCACAATCAATGGAAAAGTATATAAACAAAGACAAGAACAAAAATGAAAAAGAAGGACAACCAAATTTATAGAGTAGTTGCTCTTAAGTACTGAAAACTATGGAATTTTCGTGCTCTTTGACCTAGCTGAACCAAATTTTTAACAGAAACTATCCACATTTATCAGTCTATATGTACATATGTGTATGTTTGTGTGTGTGTGAGAGGAGGGGGAGGGGTACTTGGGTCTAGAGGTTTCCTTGCATGGATTCACGCAGATAAACGGGACCCGTAAAGGATTTGCCACCCACAAGCTGGACAAGATTCTCGCCAGCATAGCTAACAAATGGTGAGATCTCACAGATCTCGCCATGCACCATGCCGCCAGCATTCTCAATGTATTTGCGGTGCAGCCTGTGCAGATCGGCGCGCGCTGTGCTGGGGCAATCCTTGCCAGCCGAATCGGCATTCTTGAGGGCGCTGAACTCCTCGTCGCGCGGCACCTCCATGGCGACAAACTTCTCGGCGAACTCGAAGACGTCGAAGACAAACTTTTCAATCTTGATGCCGTTCGGCTGGTTGGGCGTCAAACGAATGCCGGCATTGTCCACGAATGGTATCTTCTTTTTGGCCACGTGCAGCTTCAGTTTGCGCTCGTACGTGCTGCCGATCTTGTGCAGAAAGGCAACGGTAAAGAAATGATTGCATATATTGCCGGCGCTAAACGTCAGCCGTCCATCCGCATTGCGCATTTCGGCCGTCTTAGCCGAGATCTCACTGTACTCGACCACCTGGTACTTGTTGTCGACAATGGCCACCACGCCGACCGCCTCATTGGGCGCCGACTTCTCCACCACCTTGGCGGCACAGTCGGCCTGCTGCTGCACACAGTAGCCAATGAATATGGGATCCGCTACCTTGATCAGAATGTTGTCCACGCTGTGCGCATGCACATAGAGTATGCCGCGCTGTTGCATATCGTCCAGGATGCCGGCACGTTGCATGGCACGGTAGATGCCGCCGTTGCCGTCCGGTGAGCGCGACACACGATGCTTCTCGTCCAAGATGATGCGGCCATCGTTATCGAAGCACGGCAGCGAGCCCTGCTCGAAGAGCACCACGTTCTCCTCGCGCAGTCCGAAATAGTTGTTGGCCTCCAGATAGTCCAGTGTCGGCTGCATTGTGTGCTCCGAGGTCATAATATACCAGACGA